TGCGTTGTCGTCAACAACCTCCAACACCACTGTCGCGTGGCCGACTACACAAAAATTTAATGTGAGCGACAACAACAAGTGTGGGTGTTGACGCCCACAACCTCTTTAATAAGCACACCATGCCCCCAAGCCCCGCCCACTCCACGTGAAGTCCTTGTTTTTTTTTTTTTGTGAAAAATTGGAAAAAAAAAAAGGACTGCCCACGTCCCCGTGGGGCTCAGCCTGGCAGCGAGTGCCGCGGGGCAGGGCAGTTTTGAAGGTCTGCCCTTCGAAACTGCCCTGCCTCGCGGCACTGGCTGCCAGGCTGAGCCCCGCGGGGACGTGGGCAGTCCTTTCTTTTTTCCAATTTTTCACCAAAAAAAAATGATAATAATTTTTTTTCAATAACACTCCTGTGCTCCTACCCACCCCCCCCAACACCCCAAGCCAAACCCCCCTCGGCACCCCCCAGAGGGCCATGCCACGTTCGGACGGGAAGCGGCCGTACGTCCGTACAGGCGTCTATACGTCCGTCCGAAAGGCGCGTACGGGGACCCCCCGTACGACGTACGAGGGACGACACAGAAAGCAGGGAAGGAAGGGTCGGAAAGAAAGAAAACGAGGACACTCATGGAAATACAAAGTTGAACGACCTTCGATTTTTGCTACGGATCAGATGAGGACCGTGAACCTGGTTGAGGTGTGTGAATCTGCATGGAAGAGTAGTAAGTGTTTCGTCTCTGAAGGAGGTACAGTTTGGGGATAAACGTGGGATATGATCGTGAAAGAAATTGGATGTAGTAGGATTAAACATAGGGGGGAAAATAGGAGCATCAAAGAGTTTAGAAAGGAGCTCGAGCAGGGGGGTAACTTCGAGATCGAGAAATTGGGAAAACGAGTGTTGTCAACAGAAAAAGCTGCTCTGAAAATGGTACAACATCAAGTACTTCGAAATCCTTGGTATAAAAAAAAACTGTATAAATTTGATCTGGACAGACTGGTGTGATTATTCATAGTCGTTAACCTCTTCTCCCGACCAGGGACTCGGGCTTTGTTGAGAGATGCGCTTGCGGGGTTATTTGGCAGAAGTTCAAATTTAATGTTAGGAAGCAGTCCTATGTAAGTGTAACATATGATCATGGTTTGTCAACTTGCGCCATTCGTAAGCTTGTGGTTCGGAAGATCCGTGATGCTTTGCCTGCTTCACTAGCCACTTTTACGTATCAAAGGCTCCTTATTACGTCGAAGAAAAACCGCCCGATTTGGGAACTCTTACATAACCACCGGCAGGCTTCTCAGCAGCTGGTGGGAATCTGCTCTTGTGCAGATAGTGTTCTCCCTCATGTGGAGGGTCACGTGCAAGGACGGCTGAGCGAACTTAGGGGAGTTTCAGAGTTTGTAAAAAATGCGCGGAATATTCCGCTCCGAACGGAACCGGTTCGGGAACGAATGAAATTATGGTTATGCAAGAATTGAATGATAGCCTAAGTAGGCTAGGCCTGGGCATCGTGATCAATTTACCTGAAGTTCGTGAGGGTGTCATAGTTGGGACTGCGAAGGGAATTAGCCATGGGAGTGAGATGCAGAAAGTCAAAGAATTTTGTTTAGGGATGGTTTGTTCTACCGTAGATCGGAACTCACCAGAAACCGCTATTTTGTGTCCTTTGGTGTATGCAAAAGCAATAAAGGAAACATTAAGGGGAAACGAGAGTTTCTCGGCAGTATGGGATTCAGAAGCTGAGATTCTGGCTACGTGTGAGGCGGAGTTTAAACAGCTAGGTCTACACAGAAGCTTGGGAAAATGGAAAAAAAATGGGAAATTGGGACGAGCTTAAGTTATTCCGAAAAACAAGGATATTAGCAGGTTTTGCCCAATTAGCTCATCCTTTACCGAACCATCACGTACGGCGGGGAGAAGAATTGCGAAGGCTTTGAATCACTTGCTTTTTGTTCTTCCGAAGTTTGAAAATTTTAATTTGAAATCGACCAATGATCTGAAGGATCGGATAAAAGGAGTTAATTAGTGGATTAAGGGGAAAGGTCAAGGGGGAGTTGACAGAAGCAACCTTTCATATTAAAGAAATGTTTAGCCAATTGCCGCATGCCTCAATTCGGGACGCAATTAATTGGCTGTTAGATTGGTATAGAGGGAAGGGAAGGACGAGTATGAGTGTGAAGCGTAGGAGCAAGGGATCGACTTTTACAAACAAAGTGGGCAACAATGCATGGCTGGAAATTAACTTCGGCACGATTAAGACAATGGTAAATTTTGAATTGAAATTTACCTACGTTGTAGCTTCAGATCGTCTTATTCAGCAGCATGTCGGGATTGCAATGGGGAGGAGTAGTAGTCCCCCACTGGCGTGCATTCTGTGCGCGGTTTGTGAACAAAATTTCCTCCGAGGATTGGGGAATGATAGATGCCTGATTAAAGGCGTTAGGCTCATGGATGATGTGACGATTTTCGTCTAGGCTCCAAAGAAAGGAGGGCAAATGCGAAAGGACAAAATTTTGGAAAGTTTCATGGACGCTTGCGACGACCGCTTGGTACTAAAGAGAACGAACGAAGGCCGAAATGAGTGGGATTTCCTCGGAACCAAGGTTGAAATCAACAATAACAGGGTTATATGTTACTGTTTTTCGAAGAATTTTGAATGCGTCTGGACCGAGGATGGCTTCACGTTTCGAACCTTTCAGAATTTTACGTCCTATACTACGCTGCGACAGAAGAAGAAAGTTATTACAAGTGTTATGCATAGGATTCAGCGGATGACCTCAGATGATGAATTAGTTGGGCTGAGTCTACTTACACTGCAACGGCAGCTACGACTGCAGGGGTACCCAGGCTGGATTTTTAATAAATGTCTCTGGAAGTTTGTGGTGAAGCGAGCCCCGTCCTGGGAAAGATGGGCGCAGAGGTTTGGGGGGTGGTGAAGGATGATGTAGTAGTAAGTATGCCGAACCCGCGAACAGGTAGCGATCGGCTGCCTTGCTTTTCACGGCTCATCGTTTTGAGGTGGGGTTCGATCCGAAAACCGGTCTGTTACCAAGTTTTCTAAAATGGCAGGCCGATAGAGTATAGGTAAATAAGTTACTGGGAGTATAGGTAAATAAGTTACCGGTTCGGTACTGTCACTACGGGCCTTTGGCAGTCCATGTGCAGTTTTGATCTAGTAAGAAGTTTCTGGAATTTAGCGAACCGGTCAGGGCCAGGAAGGTTTCAGTCACGTATGGGACACAAGCGAATGTGGGAAAGTGGGCTTAGTCTCTAATCGTGAAGCTTAATGGCATTATAAAAGAATAGTAGACTAATCTCTTAAGCATCTCGAAGTCCCCCTGATGAGGCCGCTTACTGGCAGCGGCTGAAACTAGTAGGGGAAAGCTAGTTCTTTTCGTCTTCCGGGTTTTCACGTTCTTTCACGGTGAGGAGGGAGTTGACTTCTCGGCATGGTTTGCCTTGGCATCCATGGCCGTGTCCATATCGGCTTGTAATTCCTATCTTTCGGAGATTCTTCGGGATTTTTGGTTCTCGCATATTATTGTCGCCCGTGGCGATTATGTATTGTCCTGAGTCATCGTGCATGATTATGTTGTGCTGGGTCATACTCTATCTTTACCATCGAGACATCTTGGTCGTGGCCCGACCATGGGGCTTTTTTTTTTTTTTTTTT